GCTTGGGTGTAAACCTGCTGACACACCTATGAATTCCAACAAAAGTCTGAACAAAAATGAAGAAAGTTGTTCTGTTGTTAAATGATGAAAAACTTGTGGGCAAATTACTTTACCTAACACAAAAGATTTGATATTGCATACTCAGTCAGTGTTCTAAGCCAACACATGAATAATTTAAATGAGGATCATTTGGAATGGTGAACAAAACTGAGATACTTGAAGATGACCCTTGGATATGGTTTACTCTTCAAAAGATCTGAAAACCACGAGATTGAGATATACACAGATTCTAGCTGTGCAGGAAAGATAACCAATAGGAAATCAACCACTAGATATTGTTCATACGTTTGAGGAAATCTCGTCACATGGAAAAGTAAAAAAGAAAGTTATTTTTTTCTCAGAGTTGTGCAGAATCTGAATATGTGAGGGAATGTGGATTCAGATGCTATTAAGAAAACTTAAGGTTAAAGATGAAAGACACAATTAATGTTCTGTGATAGCCAACCACCTATTAGTATAGTCCAAAATCTTGTGCATCATGACAGAATAAAACACATAGAGATTGACAGTCACTTTATCTCATAAAAGTTCAACAATGGAATTGTTCAGCTCAGCTATGTTCCGACACGATTTCAGACTGTTGATGATCTAACCAAAGCACCGTCAAGGGTCAATCATGATGAATTGAGGGCCAGACTTGGTTTGTACAATATATACAACCCAATTTAAGGGAGAATATTGGAAAATATCAATCCAAATTAGAAAGCAACTTCTTTCTCTCCTTTAGATTATATTTCACTAATAATGTTTGCGTTATTAGATATTTCATTTTTCTATTCTTGTTTTATTTTGGAGAGATTCTTGCTTGGCTTTCTTTCATTATTATATTTGTGTAGCAAGGTGTAACGATGAGAGTTAACGACAAATAAAATTCTTTTAGGAATTTCTACACTTTATGGCCCAAAGTATCATAAAAATAAAAAATGAAATGTAAGTGTTAAATATGTAAATACATAAGAATTGTGTGGTATGTATGCACATTTCCATATTCTTTATTAATGGAAGTACCACTGATACCAGATTTAACCCAAATAACAATTATGAGACAATATTATTCATGAAAAAATTGATAGGCAGTACAAATTACACACTCAAAAGGAAATAACAACAGATGCAGACAAACACAACTAAAGTTGTATCACAAAGGGCGTGGACGGTAGACTGGCTGGTTGGGAAGATGGGACAAGGAAGCAGGTGGGCGTGGGGGTGGGAAAATCAGTGGAAGATGGGCATAGGTTAGGAAGGCTGCTGCAGGGGGGAGGCATCGCTGTAAGGTGGCAGCATTTTGGATGTATAGGAGGGCAATGACAAAAGTGCAAGAGTGGTATAGGAAGGGGATGATAGAGGAGCAACTGCAGAAAGGGGAGGTGGGATAACAAGGAGGTGGCGAAAGCTGGGCGATAGGGGGCTGTGAAGTGATGTGGAAGGGTGGCAGGAGGTTGTGGGGCTTCAGGAACAGCACAGGCACCGTTCTCAGGGGCAGTTGCAGCAGTTATAGCCACAACAACATTGTAGGGAAGGTTGTGGAGGATGGAATACACCCCTAAGATAGAAAATTAGAACACTGAAGGCTGTCCTCACAGAAAAAAATTAGCAAAAAATCAATCCAAATCAACAAAAAGTTTATATTTACATTAATGGATAGCTAGGAGGGGGAGGACCCTCCCTTGGGCGGCAACTCTAGCCCACCCTTGGATCGTTCGGCTCTTGCAGTAGCTTTGCTAAGCCAGTTCTGCGCTCTCCAGCCGGTTCAACCTCCCATTGACCTTGCATCTGTTTCCAGGGTTGGGGGAGCTTTGGCTTTATTTGTTGAAGCTTTTGGTTCCTCATTACGTTGAAAGTAGCAGAGGTATTGTGATCTTCTGATAGTTCGATCATGTAGGTGTTGTCATTCCACAATACTTCTTGATAGAATAACTATGTATCCTCTTTTGAAACACTCTGAGCTGGAGCTGTATATAGATGTAGGTTCTTGCAATGTAACTCTTGAGCTCTTCAGTTTGAAACCTTCCTTCACTTCTCGTTTTCAGCAGAATGTAGTTGTAAACCAGTATGTGAGGAGAAATCAACCCAAGGGTGAAATCTATGGTTGGTTGTACCACTCTCACTAACTACTACTCAGGAGAGACATCTTCACAGATAGGACCTGAATCCCATTGAAGATTTTTTTTCTCTATCAAGCTCCTAAGACAAGTTTCAAAGCTGGGGTTCATCCCTCTTGTCTGGGCATCTAATGATGGGTACCATGCTGATCTGAATCTAATATTTGAATAACTCCATGTAATCTATCAGACATAGCACAAAAGGACCTCTCTTAGTAGGGGCAACTTGGAAGGAGCCTATCTATCTCAAAAGTTTGAATTTCTCTTATTAGGGTTGTCGGGTGTTTGGTATTGGTTCCTCGAACTTAGGACCATTTTGGACCACCAATGTGAATTCTGTTGGAGTCACCCTTATGCCCTTAGCTGGAGCTACGTGCTTTTCTTCTTCATTTGTTGGAATATAATCCCTCTTTTTTGTCATTGTCTCTTTCTTCAACTGTTCTTTGCTCAGTGAAATATATCATCACCTTGGCTGTGCAATCTACATCAATATGGTCAAATTTGTGGTAACACTTTCTGGTTGGGATGGATTTGGGAATATGGATTGGTTACCTCTATTCTCCACTTTGAACTAGTGTTTCTTCGGGTGTCAGCTTGGATGTTCCCCTGGGTGAAATCTAGTTGTAAGATCCTCAGTGATATGTGATGGTTGGACCAGTTAATGTTCTTGTCTTTACCTCACGCTGGCATAGGGACTTCAAATTTTGCCAGAAAAATAATGCACTTCTTTAGCTTGCTGACAACTTGCTTCATCATTCTGTCCAGTGGGACGCCCTGACACTCAAAGAAACATTCCAAGGTCCAGTGTCACTCGATGAACTCGTCCATATCCATGTGACCTTTAAAATATGACAAATTCACACTTCAAAATCCCGGCAGCTCAGATGTTTCAAGTCAAATATTCTAGGTAGAGGTTCTTCATTCCTGGAATCAACATGGTGGAGGAGATTCATTTCATTTCTTTGATCTAGCAAGTCATCGTTGTGGTTACGGGTGATTTCTTTTGGATCGCCTCTTCTCGAAAGTGACAAGCTACTGTTGTAGTTGATGGGCTTTCCACCACATCTTCCTTAAAAATCTCTTGGATTCCTCTTTGTGAATTCCTCATAAATGAAATCGTGTCATTTCCCCTCAATCAGGCTTATAACTATTGGACTTCTCAATGGCATGACTAGATTTTAGGTTTGGGCGATGAAAGAGGGAGCATGAGATTGATTGTGTATGCAGAAAAGCTATTTAGGGTTGCTAATTTTAAAAATCCGCAAGGGGAAATTAGGGTTGGGTCAAGATTTGGTTATGGTTTGATGGGTGTTTGGAAATCATAGGATAGGACTAAGATTATGCTTGCTTTGATATTAATTGATCTCAGGTTAACCCAAACAATAATAAACAAACAATATTATTCACGGAAAACCCAATAGGCAGTACAAATGACGTTGAAAAGGAAATAACAACAATGGATGTAGACAAACATAACTAAAGTTGTATCACAAAGGCGGTGGACAGTAGGCTAGCTGGTTTGAAAGATCAGACAAGGAAGCGGGCATGGGAGTAGGAATACCAGTGGCAGATGAGCATTGGTTGGGAAGGCTGCTGCAGGAGGAAGGCGTGGCTGGAAGGCTGGGCCTGTAGGAGGGCAGGAACAGAAGTGCAGGAGTGGTGTAGGAAGGGGGACGACGGAGGAGAAACTGTAGAAAACAGCCTGGACTATCCGGCAGCTGCAGCAGGGAAGGAGGATAGCAAGACGGTGGAAGTTGGGTGACTGGGCTGCTAGGTGGTGGGGAAGAGTGCGGCTGCAGGAAAGCACATCTGCTGTTCTCGAGGGCGGCTGCCACTGCTATGGCAACGATGGCAGCGGAGGGAAGGTTGTAGAGGATGGAAAAGTTGAGAATAATCACCACCTCAGAGCGAGATATAGTCGGAGCACCACTCGTCCTTAGATACAACTCTAAGAGGAAACACTGGGTACGCCATCAGCTGTCCCGACAGAAAACACAACAAAATCCAACCCTAATCAGCAAAAAGAACATATTTATATTAGTAGATAGCTAGGAGGGGGAGGCTCCTCCCTTGGACGGCAATCCTAACCCACCCTTAAATGGGCAGTTCTTGCAGTAGCTTGGCTGAACACCCCCACCCCCACTCCGCTCCGCATCAACCAAATTGAATTATCATTTGTTTTCCCAGGTGGCCCAAATGAAAGACTTAAAATGTAGTCTGTTGTGAAATGCCTTTAAATTTCCGGAAGTTTTGACAGTTGACCCTTTGTTTTATGTAGACATGAGATATAATTTGTGGTTTATTTTCTTTGAACACATTCTTGGTGAACTAATTACTTAATAGTGAACAGGACAATAAAACAGATTTATGCTTTTTCGTTAAATTTTATATTTATAATTGGGTCAATGGGCAACGATGTATGAACATGAAAAGTGAACAAGAGGACATGGCATTTGAGAAAGAAGATTGAGACATAGAATAAAGAAAGTAATTTTTGATTTACCTCTCATCATCGTTGAAGCATTCTCGCAATAAGGGAAAAGACATGAAGAGAAAGAGAGAACTGTGTGCTCTTGCATATCTGTAATTTTAAATATATTAGACATATATATGAAATGCAAGTATAAGGTATCATATAGGACCACATATATAGTTTGGAATAACTCACAAATGACAAATATTATAAGATTAACCAATGTATCATATAATATTGTATCTCATTTATCTAACTTTCTTATAATAACTAGATTTTTCTCTTATCTAAATTTTAACTCTTGACCATTTGATAACTGAGTTTGAAGTTTGTTTTATAAATCTGATTTATGCTCATTGTTTTAGGAAGTGCGGGTTAGGTTTTCCGGATTTGGTGTTGAAGAAGATGAGTGGATAAATGTTCGTAGGTGCGTTCGACAACGTTCTCTTCCTTGTGAAAATGTGGAGTGTGTTGCAGTTCTCCCTGGGGATCTTATACTTTGTTTTCAGGTACTGCAATCTTAGCTTAGACCATTATCTTTGTATCTTAATTTGTGCTGTTGGTTATATAAATAAAGAGAAAAGATCCCTTTTTTATCAACAAAGGCAGTTTCAAGACATTTGATTAGACTTCATTTGGGGCGGCTTATAATTTTTTATTAATGATGTCAAAGCTTTTTAAAAACTGCTTTATGTGACATAGTTTTTATATGCTTCTTTTTTCTAAAGTAGTTTCTAAAAGCAAATTCTTTTAAGGGTTACTTGCTGATTGTTTTTTCCACCACAATAAGGGTTTGTTTGGAGCAGCTTTTTCACAGTTTTAATTTCAGATTGCTACCACACATCTGTTTGACTTTTGCTATATTGTTGTTTTTTATAAATTTCTATGGTGGGAGGTTGCTTTTGAAAACCAAATTTACTAAACTAAAATTTTTGTAAGAAAGCTGCTCTCCAAGTTTTTTGCAAAAAAGAAAATATTTATAATACTCACATCAGCTTTTAAAAAATTTCTTTCCTCGTAGTAGCTTCACAATCATTTTTACAAAAAGCTGCTTCAATGAAACCTTAGCTGCAGTGAAGAAAGCTCAGCTATATGTTTCTATGAAAATAGCTTTCATAGAATTTTGATTTGGATGGCATCTAAGAAAAGCACATTTATTAATTTTTGTTTTTCATAAATAATATATTCATTAAATTAGTTAATTATAAACTCATTAATATTAATTTATCATATTGTAATAATATATATTCAAGTCCATTAAATCATATTTAATATAATAACTTTATAATAATTTTTATTCATTTATTTCATCTCTAATGTCATTATCACAATAATGTTTTCGAAGCAGCAACAATTCTTTCAGCACCATTCACGGAATATTGTCTAAACTATTATTTGCCAAAGCCAATTAACTATTTGATGAATATCCTGCCATTTTTTTAAGCTAAATGAAAAATTTTTATGAAGTAATTACAATAATTAATGAACAGGAAATAGAGCACAAGATGTTCTAAGTCAGCAAATCACATTAAAAGCCTTAAATTTTAATATACAAAGCAATTTTGAAGCGTGCCCTGCACTATAATACTAAGAGAGCGGAAATGACATAAGTTTCTCTACTACCTTGAATATTTAACGAAAGGGAGATTTGCATACTTACCACTACATTCTTATGTATTTACATATCTAACACCGAAACTTCAATTTTTACATACATATCACTTTACATATGCATGAAAAGTTGTATTTCACTTTTTAAAAGTTAAAATGATGCTATTTTTTATATGATATGAAAGCTTTGTGTGGTATAAATGTTAAAAGCAAAGTTTACATGTTCGATATGTAAATTCATAGGCATTAGGTGGAATGTATGTAGATGCCCCTTAAAAAGAGTGGTTTCACATAATAATATTGTTGATTGTTATAAATCAGCAATGGATTCTAACTATGTTCCATTTAATATTCAGATTAATTTTTTTGTTGAAACCATTAAAATTTCATTATGTAACTCTCATCATAGGTTTTGGCTCTGCTTCTATTTTGGCAGTCCATATTTTCAATTTCTCTGTAAAACTAAAAATGAGTATATTTTTCTGCTTTTGTTGATGTTTGAAGCATCGGTTGATCACTATAAAACCTATTAATATTTAGTGAGAGATCATTGCTGTTTTATGGCTAAAGGTAATGATCATGATGAGATATTATTGTAACAATAATGGACATAATTGTCTGATTTACATATTGGTGATGGTGATGATAATCTGTTTATATTTTGATAACTAGTTTTCTCAATTGGAGACTATATTGTTGACCATAACCCAGGAAGGGAAAGAACAAGCTCTCTATTTTGATGCTCATATTCTGGATGCACAAAGACGAAGGCATGATATTCGTGGATGTCGATGCAGATTTCTCGTTCGCTATGATCATGATCAATCTGAGGTCTGCATTTGTTTTGGTCTTCTCTATTTCCTTTTGGCTCCATGAAATTTTTAAATAAAATAAATATGAAGATTTACATTCATACCAGTTAATTCTTATGTATTTACATATCTAATGCCTAAACTTCAATTCCACCTTGCTTATGCATGAAAAAATGTTTTTCACTTTTTAAAAGTCAAAATGTGATATTTTTAATGTCATATGGAAGATTTGGGTGATATAAATGTGTTATAAGTTATATCAGGAAATAATATATTTTTGTTAGAAGTTATAATAATTATATTTATTTTCTTGGATTGGAGTTATTTCATTTTCTATTTTATGCTTTATTTTATGCTTTATGTTGTTTCCTTTATCTTCTAGTAATTAATATGAATTGATTAATTGGAGATATAGGTGTTATATCTTTTTTGTTATATTTTTTTATTTTCTTTTATATTCTAGGATTCATGTAAAGGTTATTTATACCTTCTTTTCATATCAATACTTATATTCCGCATTATTTTGAATTTCAACATGATATCAAAGTCAAATTTCATACCCTAGCACCCAGTCCTTTTACTAGAGCCGTTGGACTCCCTTCCTGCCATCCTCCCTACAGGGAGGACCCCTTTCTCTCCCTGCCCGCAGGTCCTCGCCGCCTGAGCAGATCTCTGTAGCCCTCTAAAGCATTGCCTTCTTTTTTGTTGTGATCCCGCACGATTCTCCCTTTCTATTTTATCGAGCTAGGAGCTACTACTTTGCTGGCCTCCAGAAAGCAACAATCATCATTTCTAGGGGAAATCTCGACTCTCAAGCGGAAGTTTCTCTCTCTAGTGGAAATCTACACCTTACAGAGGCGGTGACTTTTCTCTCTCTGGTGGAAATCTCTATCTGCTTGCCTGATTTAGTTCTTCTTTCCAACATAAATAAAGAAAGGAGGACCTCTTTTCCCTGATGTCTTTCACGTTGGTTCTCTCGTCTTTGTTTTTCCTTGCAGGTTTCACCCGGTGATCCTTTCTGCAAGAATTTCCAGCGTTCAGACCTCTCCCGATCTCCTTTCACGACTGTCGGGGCACCTACCTGCAGCCTTTCCCACCACTGATACTCCCTTCTGCAATATTTCCCGCCGCTGGAACTTCCTCTACAGATTTTTCTCTGTAGATTTCAGGCAGCTGGACCACTTCTCTGCATACCTACCGGTCCTTGGACATACTCCTGCCGGCTGGACCTCCTCCCAGGATTGTTGAATCTCTCCTTGTAGGTCTTTAACAATCAGAAATCATCTCTGTCGGCTGGAAAACTTCCCTGCAGACCTTACCAGCACTTTCCTGTAGGCCGCAAATTCCAACAACCACCTCTATGACGTCCTCCGCCATTTTATATGCATGGATTGTGGAAATAAAGGGAAGTGTGTTACAGAGGAATTCATCTTTAGTTTGCTTTCAAAACCACTTGAGGAAGGTTATCGCAAAGGTGAAATTGGATGTATTCTTGAGTAGAATCCTAACAATCGGCCTACATGCCCTTCTCCATCGTTTTTTTTTTCTGCTGTTGAAAAACTCTATACATGTCGTTCTCTATTTTTTTCTTGCCACCGGAGCTCTCCTTGTAGTCGGAAGTATCTTGTTGCAAGCCCTCCTCGCTGCAGGCCTTCCTGCGAAGCTTTTTTTTTTGCAGCAAACCCTCGAGAATATTTCCTGCAGCAGACCCTCCAGAGATTTTCCTGCAGCAGGCTCCTTTGGAAATTTTTTTTGCAGCAGGATCAGGAGCTTTTCTTGCAGCACCCTCCTTGGGAGCTTTTTCCTATATCAAGCTCTCATCTGGAGTTTTCCTTGCAGCAGGACGTCTACAGTAATTCTTCCAACGACAGGCCCTTCTCCGGAATCTTTTCCTGCATCAAGTCCTCCAAAACGTTTTCTTACATCAAACCCTCATTCAGAATCTTTTCTGCATCAGACCCTCCGCCAGAGCCTTTCCTATAGTATGTCTACTTCTCTGCAAGCTTCCCTGCAGCATGACCTATAGAAGTCTTCTGCATAACTGCAGAAACTGCAGTCAATGACAACCACAATCAACTAAATATTCTTGGGGTTGATTACCAAGTACGTGTCGGCGTTTAAAAAGGGGGGAGTTACGTTTG